TTACAGTTTTATATTTTTAATAATATGAAATATCTCATTTCATTATTTCTGCTGCATTTCATTATTTCCATCCATCATTTTCATTTCAATATTGTTTTTATATTCTGGCATAATTTTTGTTAAACAGGATGCCATTGGAATATTTTAGTTCACTTGTCCTTGTCTTTAGCTGCTTTCTTATTTAATTGTAGCTGTGATTCTATGATGATTTGAATAGTAATGATCAAGTGAATGATTTTGAGACTAATTTTTAGTATCTCAATGTGGATGACACTATTCTTCAGTTGATTGTTGATGTGATTATATCCAATCAGTTTTGATATAAGAGTGTGTGTTAGCTCACAAATGTTGCCAAAAGTTGCAATAATTTTTTGATAGTGTGAGAACCATGGACTTCAGGATAACCCATTCCACATTCAGGTTGGAAATGTAAAATAAAAGAAAGATCAGAGAAATCTTTCTCAAGAGTCTTGACACCAGTTAGGGTAAATTTAATCGCATCCTAACTTGCAATTTAGTTCCTTTCCAATTTAGTATATTAAAATTAGCTGGAATTTTAAGAGGGTTTTAGTTGAATTGCTAATAATATGAGGTATATGGGCTGACAATGGAGTTAAGCATTAATCAAATCAAAATATGATGATTAAAAAATAAATTTATTTATAAGGGATGAACAAAACTAATATACAAATATGATTAAATATTAATTTTATAAAAATATCATAAAACAAAAGCAAACCTGAAAAATATAAATGATTCAAAAAGAAATAAGATAACAATCTATTTCCTAATGCTTTTCTATGAGAGAGAGTTTACAAAATTCATATTACCTGTAATACACCCATATTCGACATGGAGGCATTGAAAGTTCTTGGGAACGAGTATAAGTAGAGAATTGGGAGATGGACAAGAGCGTTGGCTAAGCATTGGCAAGAACCTTAGCAAGAGTGCATTTGAAGGTGACCTCTTACCTTTTATACTAAAATTCCGTCCAGTAGAATTATTAGAAATAGCTCTTCATGCTTCCAACATGTGATGGAAGTTGTGCGGTCCTGTAGTAGAGTGAGACATTGCACTCTAGCTATTGTTTTTGGATGAGCTGAATCATTTTCCTTCAGTTGAAAAGGAAGTTCCTTTTTCAACTTTACTAAATTTTATGATAGATAAATTTCTATCGAAAATTATAACAATTATTTTAACAAAATTTGTCAAAAAATTAATCTCCCAACTCCAGATTTTCATAATAGTGAGTGCATCAAAGTAATGCTGATTACCATAATTTTCTAATTGCTTCTCAAAATTGTTAGCTTTGGGAAACCATCTTAAGCTTAGAATTTTTCAGATGAAAGCTGAGTGATTGATTCTCAAATCCATGTTATTGGATATTATAGATATTAAAATTCTTTTTTTTATTTAATTTTTTTGAGTTTGTTTAACATTATTATTATGGTGTTGCTGGAATATATCCTACTTGACTTATTTGATACTTGGTGTTATGCTGGACCATGGCCAAGGCATAGCTTCAGAAAAATTTACTGTAGTTATGTGATGTTCATGTACAGTACATATTTGTGTATATAACAACCTCCTGAAACCCAATGTATTGATACTAAGCCAAATGATCACTTGGTTTAATACCAATACATTTGCTTTTAGCAGAGTTTGTTATATATAATATATATACAGTAGAGTGTCGTTTATCTGAATCAATTGTGGACTGGGGTTGTTCGGATAACCGATTATGTATGAAAAAATATATTAACCTACCCCTAGTTGAAATTTTTCTTCATTGCATGTCACTTCGCATTGATATTTCGTCAATGTTAAGTTTAATGTAAACTTTTTAAAATAACTATTGTATCATTAAAAATTATTTCTTTATTTTTTACAAACAAAATAAATATATTGAAAAATATAAAAACCAAAAATTATACTTTAGAAGTTGATCTAGTATCAAAAACGTTCGATTCAGCACCACACACAGTCCTCAGAAAAACACCACACAAAAGTGCCAGTGCTGCCAGCTAAAACACACACACCATCAAAAAAATATTGGAGTAGCCCAAGATATAGCCAAAGATTGCAGCGCCACAGCACTAGCGAAAATTTAAATTTGCCAACTGGAATTCTTTCGGCTAACTGACATTTCAGATAACCGACTTTTGGATAAACGACGCGCTACTGTATATATATATACCATATACCATGCCAGGTATAGCAATAGCCAGCTGAGTGCTTTGGTGGAGGAGTACATAGGCTGCTCCAGGTGTAGAAGTAGTCCCAGCTGGTGTTGTAAGTGACTATGAATTGTTATAAATAAATTTAAATCCAGACCCCAAGCAAGTGAAAACTTGCTTGGGGTCTGGATTTAAATTAATTTATAACAATTCATAGTCACTTACAACACCGGCTGGGACTACTTCTATGCCTGCAGCAGCCTATGTACACCTCCACCAAAGCACTCAGCTGGCTATTGCTATACCTGGCATGGTATATGGTATATATATATACAGTAGCGCGTCGTTTATCCAAAAGTCGGTTATCTGAAATGTCAGTTAGCCGAAAGAATTCCAGTTGGCAAATTTAAATTTTCGCTAGTGCTGTGGCGCTGCAATCTTTGGCTATATCTTGGGCTACTCCAATATTTTTTTGATGGTGTGTGTGTTTTAGCTGGCAGCACTGGCACTTTTGTGTGGTGTTTTTCTGAGGACTGTGTGTGGTGCTGAATCGAACGTTTTTGATACTAGATCAACTTCTAAAGTATAATTTTTGGTTTTNAGAATGTTCTAAATTATTTAATAAGTTATTAAATTATTATAATTATTAGTTATAGTTATAGTTAATAATTTAGTTAAGAGATGGCACCTGACATCTATGTGAGAACCGAGGGGCAGAGAATCAACTCTTCCCCACTTACCGGTGGCTCTGTCAGAGGATGGCTTTATAGGAAAAATGTGAGTGAGGAGGATCGCGAGTAAGTTGACAGGTTGTCGGTCATACTCAAGGATGACACATAATTAGATATATAAGAATAACGTATTTAATTATCTAAAGCTATACAACCTAGTACAAATCAAAGGCTACGAAGAAGGAATAATCTAAATCTATTGCAACAAGATATTCTGTCGTCGAGAAGTCATATAATATTCTTTTAAGTAACTAGCCTAAGTCCAAGCTATGATTGAGAGAGAGAGAGAGACGAGAAATGAAAGAGAGAGAGGATCAAAATTTGGCTATGTGTTTACCTCTCAGGTTCTGCTTCCTAGTATGGGTTGTCATGGGAATGAAACCCGGATCGGCTGACTCTAATCGTAGTCTTCCTTCTCCTCAGATCTGGCTCATCGAGAGTCAGATGGTGATTATGGTCCAACTGTAGGTTCTATATACAGACTATCAATACTTTCGATCTTATTTGCCAATATGGTGTACATCATACTGACAGGAAGTGCATTATGACTGAAAAATAGCTTTGCTTATGTCTATAATGAAGTATAATAGAAAAATATTTTAATATTTGAGATAATACTTTCTAAACTGCACATCAGTAAGTGTTGTGCTTGCAATAGCTGTTTCAGAGGTCTGGGATACACAGTGGGATGGGTTATGCAAGTGTTTGAATTTTGTTCTAGCATTTTTTGAAGAGTATATGCCACTGTGGTTTATCCACAAAAATTATGGAAATACTTTGTTCTATATTACTTAATATTTTGATTTATGCAGTAACTGATAAATAATTTAAATTAGTGTAAAACTAAGTCAGCAAAATAATTGAAACGTAATGAATTAATATATAAATTATTTTTAAAACAACGTAAATGGGGTGAGGAATTTAGGGAAGAAATCCTTAATGAGTTCTGTAATCAGTTTTCTAGAACATAAGCTGTCCTCCGCGATATATAAAGTCAAAACTCTACCTATGCTTTTCTTATAGATTATTGGTTACAGAAGTTAAAAGGAAGTGACGTATGACGTACGATCATACCAGACAATTGTAATATCAGGTGGTCATATTAACGCATTTACAATTAATTATAATCTAAATATTTTAGTATTATTATCTCCTAAGCAGTTATGACATAATTATCCTACAACCAATCCTGTAACCAATTATGACGTAAATATTTTAGTACCATTAACCTTCTAATGGCAAATTCAGCAGAGGACTTCCTATATTCAATAAAAATTTTAATTATAATCCAATTTGCTTTCCTTTAATCGTAATTAATTAACTTTAATTTTCATCATTACGCTTTATCGCGGCACGACTCTAAAATTGTACAGCGACTTGNGATGAAAAAATATTAAATTTAAAATTAAACTTAAAACTATGCCTAAAGCTATACAATATAAAGATGAAACCATCACCATGATTGTATGAGCAGTAAGCATTTTCAATGTAGACAGAAGTAATATTTCTTCCTAACATTGCATGGTAACGTTCCTAACATTAAAATTTATTGTTGATGAGGTGAATATTATACTCACATGGGACTGCCAAATTAATGAGATTAAAACTTAATATGAAATTGTTTTCTTACTAGCTGCAGACACACAGATTTTTCTTAATATTTTTATTATTTAAATTTTAGAAAAATTTTATTAGATTCCACAGAATGTTTTATTGTTAATAGAACAATAATTAAAAATTGTCTTTCATGGCTTTCAGAACTAACAAGTCTGCTTTTAGTGATTTCTCTACAGCATTGAGGCACTTACTACAGCATGCCTCTTTTCAAGATCAGTTGTGTGTATCAAGTGATCTGATCTCATTCACATATAATATTGTTGTGATAAGTAAACATAATCAAATTGTATGATACATTATCTGTATAGTTGCCAGGTGTTTATTATTTGTGTCTCTATAGTACAACAAATTAACAGTGATATCCTGACAAGGAAACAACCTTGTGTCTTGGACATTCCAAGATACTGCCAAGCATAGGCACTTTGACAAGAGAAAATGAAAGTAGACTGGGTCTGACATCACTAGGGTTGAGTGATGGTCTAGCAATATTGTTTCATCACTGCAGCATGAAAAAAACTATGTAAGCAAAACTATTAAAACTCAAAATATTTGTTCCAATTAATATTCTAAATAAGCATTTTGATTTAATTATGTCATTTAAAATTTTCAACTAGTTTGGTTAGACTTTTCTTCACTCAGTTTAATGTTTTATCATAATATGCTTGTCACAAGTAATATATATTTAACAATATAACTTTCAATGTAATTACCGATGTTAATGAACACACTCAATGAGCCTTTATGTCCGGTAACATTTAAACTTCATGAAATGAGTGTTTTTGGCCTCACTCAAGGTCTACTTCAGGTTAAATTGAGAAAGAATTCCAAACTTAGAATACCTTGTATTGAACAATTTCAAATGTTAAATTTTAAAATAAAATTGAAACATGGTTATTAACCATATTTTTCGGTTGCAAGAGCATGCCATCCATGTATAAATACATATGGTGCCCCATGTAACCCTATTAATTGCAGGACTGATATAACCGTAAATAATACACACTCACGGAGCACCAGTGACTGCTTGTTCCTCGCATACATAGCACCAGGCATATGATAATGTGTTGCCGTCCTTGTATATTTCAAGGGCCTTGAGGGCCATTTTATCAGCTTGGCATTGGACAGGTCCACGTAAACTTCTGGGTTGGTGGCATAGGTGGATAGGGAAGTGGTGTAACATGAATAGTCTATGTCGTATTTGTGCTCACAGATTCTCTGTTGGATGGAACGTTTGGTGGAGCAGATGTACACCAAGTCTCGCCTGAACCTGTCATCCCTCACCAGGACACTGTACACATTTGGAGCCCTGAGATTTTCAGACTTGTCTTTTGCATTGTGCAATAACATATATATAGAGGGGACCTTTTGTAGTCCAATTTGGTGCCTGTTTTGGCTGCAATTTCTTTATACAAGGCACAAAGTTGTTGGTTGTACTCAACCATAGTGTGTCTGGTTCTGGGGTCCCAATTCAGATCTTTGTTATGAGCTCGTTGGGTACTGGAGGTGCCATGTGTATCACATGGCCTGGTATAGGCACATGCCAATTCCTGTATTAGTTCTTTCTTGTATCCTTGTCTAATCGCAATGCACTCTATATGTTGTAGTTCCATTACCATGTCTCTCCAATTGGAAAGGTGTGTATAAGCCCTCTTAACTAAAGCACAGAAGGCTGCAATTTTGTAAGCGTAAGGGTCTGCTGAGTTTGCTGATATAAACCATGGAACTTAGCTGGGTTTATAATGTATACCAGTTTTGATCACTCAGTTGTTGAGCCAGATGTTGATGTCTAAGAAGTAGGCGTTATTAAGTGTATTATTTACAGTTATACCAGTCCCGCAATTAATAGGCTTACATGGGGCACCATATGTATTTATACATAGATGGCATGCTCTTGCAACCTATAAATATGGTTTTAATAAAATAAAATAAAAATTTTATTTTTATTTTATTATTATTTTATTTTATTTTATTGTGTATTTGAATGTTTTAAATTTAAATGATTATAATATAAATTTGATTACCAACATTTAAGTGGTCAAAAACGTTTTTAATGTATTAAATTCACAGTTGGAAGTCAATAAGGTGTATTTTTGTATTTTATTTCTAATAAAATTGAAAACTATATTGATTTACTGTATTATAATCACATTGACTTAGCTTTAATATAAATTTAAAACTCAGCACTTAGATAGGCTCAAAACTTACATCATTTAAGTAACATAAATTAATCTAAAATTTATATTGCCAATATATATTTCAATATTTAGTCATTATACTTGAAATGCAAATTCACTTAAAATTTATATAAAATTTTATTTATTTGTAAAGCTGATTATTTGTATTAAATTTTATTTTTGTGGCACTATTTTGTTACATGAAAGATAATATTTTCTATAAAATATAATTTTCGTCACTATTAAAAGATAATCATATATTAAATTATATTCATATATTTTGGATTATATAAAATTAATAAAATGTTAAAATTTGAACTAATTTTAAATTAATATTGAAACTTAATATATATTTAGTTTTAAATTATAATTTAATTTTTTCATTCTTAGATATAAAAAAGAAAAACCAGAATATGAATTAGAGCTGTGAGTATATTAATTTTTATATTAAATTTATTGAGCCAAGCACTGGTTTCATGTCGTGATTCAAATATTAGAGAAAATATCTATTTTTCATGCAAAAAGAAATAGATAAAAAAAGTGTTATAATTTTAAACAAATATTTTTCTACTTTTATTTGTGATATTCTATTTATAACAGAATAATAATATATAAAGTTACAATACATTAGTATAATTATATCAAATATTTTGCTCTTGATTGTTGATTTAAAATCTTATAATATTGTTTTGTAAGTAGGAATCTGAAAAATCTGTAAAGAAAAATGAAAACAAAACAATAAGAGAATCTTTCTTGCATGTCAGTTTAAATTGTTGGGTGTCATCTTTCCCTTTTTTAATGGAATGTATGAAAAATTGGTATTTCCTTTAAAAGTAATACAATAGTTTATAATTTTAAAGTGTTTTTACAATATTTTTTAGTGATCTTTGCACAAGCTCATATTTTATTTAAGGTTTGAAACTTCATTTTTCAGCTTAGCTTGTTTTGAACTTAAGTATAGTCAATGCTCTTTGTAAGTTTTGGCAAAGACACACAGCTTTGTCAAAATTTATCATCATTTTAAAATAAATGCTAATTAAAATCACCTCAATATGAAGAAATTTCTAATGTTTTTATTGCTTTGACTACTTTAGAAAAATAAGATTCTGTCCATATCAAACAAGATGCAATAATAACTATTAGAGAATATTTTATTCCAAATGATTTATTACAAATATTTTAATTGTGATGATTAAAACACCTTAATTTTCAAGTATGGATCAAAAATATTACATAAAAAGTAAAACCAAAAAATACTTTTGCTGTTTTTCTCCTATTACAGAGTTTAGTTATTATAAAACGTTCTTCACACTTTTGAATTACATTTAATAGATGAACCATGCCTTCACTATTGAAGTGTTTAACTTAGATTCTGATCTACTAAAATAAAAAGAAAAATTAATACAGTGGAACCCCGGTTAACGAACGTCCTGGTTAACGACCAAATCAGTTAATGAACTTTTATTTTGCAAAAATTTTGTCTCGTATAACGAACTTAACGGCTTTTTGTGTCAAATTTGTAAGCTTGCCAACTTTTAGGGAAAATCAGTTAATCGTGTGTCGGTGATGGTCTAGGGTCCATTCGTACGTTGGTGGTGGCGGAGGAGACAAAGATGACAAGTATTTTACAGTGAAAATCGTTTATTAGAACAGGAAGATGCTTACATATTTGAGGTAATTGGAAATGGCTTATCTACAGTATTTTCTCTCGGAACTGAGGAGTGGAGTATCGCTGGTCCTACGATAGTGCAAGCTGATCAGTTGTAGCCCCAGAGCGGACGAGATGGGTTCGCTTGGTCACAGAAACGATGGTAGGTGACAGAGCTGCAACAACTGGAGCGGTCCGTGAGACAACACAAATTTTAGCGGGCACGACTTCAGGCTTTATCCAGATGAAGATGACACAGATTAATCGTCATAGAATTTTTAGGAAAACTTCGTTTTGATCTTGAGATTTGAGGTTTTTATAGTATTTCTTCCTTGAATCTCACCTTACGATTAGTCCTGCATCCCATTCCTTGCTTCCCAATCGTTTTCTTCTTTGTCTCCAGGTGAAAACCGAAACTAGATCAGGTCATGAGAAAGGTTTGTTCCGAGGCGTTTATTTGACACCTGTTCGTCGACTCTGATCAGAGATTGTTGATAAACCTATAAGATTTTCGCTCATAATTTAGCCTATTGTTTCTGCTATCTGTCATTTTAGAACTTTAACGATCGTATGTGATGTTTTTATACCCGTCAAATCTTTCCCCTTTTCCGAAAATTTAACCTAGATCGATTGTTTATGAGCACGTTTTCCTATATTTTCATTAAAGAAAACCCATTTTACAAATAAAATTACAAAAATACTGACGTCTAGAACGGATTAATTGTATTTGCGTGAATTTCTATGGGAAAAATTGCTTCGGTTAACGAACAGACTCGTGGAACAGATTACGTTCATTAACCGGGGTTCCACTATATTAGTTGCATAATTTGTTTTGTTTGTTATTTCTGCTTTCTTGGGACTGCTTTCCTGATTACCTGTATTTATGAGAGAGAGTTCACATTTAATTCGCGCGAGGATAAATACCTTGATATAAGTAGGCAAATAGTTGTTTAGTCCTTGAGTCTCTGTGTGGAACAAAGTTCTTTCGAACATTGATATTGGCACAAAGTTCTTTCAAACGTTGATATTTCTTTAGGCGGTGATTCTCCCAAACGCCGGCGATTAGAATAGTTCCGGGTAGCGGCTAATCCGTTCACGTAAATCCACAGTTCACACCAAACTCCAGAGACACTCTCTTACACATCGACCCCTCCTTTTTATCAAGGGAGTCGTCTTTGGGTTTTTCCCACTGCCTCCGTTTAATAGTTGTTTTCTTTCGTCTTTTCATAGATTCTGGGTGACACATTGGATGTATCATCCTCAACACGGAATTAAGTTTGTGGGAAAAAAGTTTTATGTTCTTTTAATATCGGTTTGTTGTTTATTTCTCTAAACTGTTCCTCGTAAAAAATATTTAACAATTTATTCCACTAAACTCAGCTTTCACATTAATGAACGGTATGCAAAACAATGTTGTGAATCAGAAAGAAGTATATTTTACTAGTATTGGAAAGTTTGTTTGTTATAAATATTTGTATGAAAATGGTTATTATTAGTGAGAAATTTTAACAAGAAGTTTTTCAAAATATTATTATAGCCATAACTATTATTTTCATTAATTTTAATGTAAATTAATGTAGTAATTTAGTTGAATCTATTTTTAATGACTTTTTCACTAAATCAACTATACTAATAATTTTAAACATGTAAAGCAAAAATGACTTCTTTTGTGCTCCTTAGTTTTATCTTGAATTTTTTGTTTTTAATTATTATAAATTTTTTAATCAATATGTCTGGTGTGTTTATTGTTTGTGATATATGTATGCATTTGTAATTTTTCCGATAGCATTGATGAAGATTCAAGTTCAAGAAGTTGGGTGTAAGTATGCTAATGTTGATGTTGCTTGATGTGTGATGATTAATGTTTAGTATCCATGTGTTTTTGATATTTAATTAATGTTTTGTTAAACAGTCTTGATAATTTTATCCAAATAAATTTTTCAAAAAATAACTTTGGTTTTTATCTTATAAATGCAGTATACAATATATTTCATGCTCTTAGCAATCCTTAATATTAATTTATCAAATTCCATTTATTCTAATTATTCTCTATCAGAAAATAATATTTTGTTTCTATCATATTTTCATTTTATAAATTTTTACTCAAAAATAATCTATTATATTGTGTAATTATTTTTGAATAAAATTGCAGAATTGAAAATGAAATTAATAATTTTAAAAATGTTTTGCAAAAAAAATTAAAAGTATAAAATTTCCAAATAAAGTGTGTTTTTTGATAGAGAGAGTAATTGTAATTGTTAATTTTGTTACCTATTAAAAATTATCAATTATTTTATGTATTTTTGTTGCAGTTTGTCTGTCTATATCTAAATTACTAATTTACAAAGATAGCTTAAAATATTTTTTTTTAACTTCATCATGCAATAGTATTTATATGTCCAAATAAAAGTCTAATTAATGACTAACTAATAGAATCAAAGACATTCTGAAAAGTAAATTGTCAAAATAAACAGTTGATTGAGAAAAACATGAGATTTTAATTATATATATGCCAGTATTTCGTAATCTATTTTCAGCTTGCAATCTATTACAACATCACTACCTCTGCAAACTAAAAATCTTTAAAAACAATCTGTCGTTCTATATCTATGTAAACTGACTTTTTTCAGAATGCTTTTTGATTAAAATCATCTAATGATACTCGTAGTCTGTGCTTCTAGCCTTGAATTACACATGAGAAATTATTGCAAAACAATAAGGCACAAATTTCTTATTAACCTCATTATTAAATCTAATATTATAGATTCCTTTAAAAAATAATAATAAATAAATTATTCTGCTCTATTCTTTAAATTGAATTTGTGTTTTAGTATTTTTATAATGTCTATTGATAAGCAAATCCCCCAAAACCTCCTCCCAGATGTGTTACAACTAGGGTTACTAGATTTTTATGACTGGATTTAAAAGATACTTAAAAATGCTTAATTAATTAATGCTGTCTTTCACTCCATCCTGTCCCACCCCCAAAAATAAAATTGAATGTTTTTTTTTCTGTCCATAACAAAACATTTTGTTTATGTTCTTTAGATTTTGATGGGAAAATTATAGCTTATATGTTGACTACAAATATTTGCAAATTTTAGTTTAACTTAGAATTTTAAATGTTTAATGGTAAACTGTATCTTTCTATGGGGAAAGGATACAGATAAATATATAAAGACTGACATTTGATACCAAATCCTTCACTGCCATTATGAAACACAGGCATTGAAAAATAAATATAAAGGACAAGGATAGTTTAGCCAAAAATAAAAGATTATTCTTTGAAATAAACGATGACCTGCAACACTAACTGCAACCCACTAATTGAGAACTGTTGGTATATTCTACACCATAATGTAAAAGTCTATATATATTTTTATTTATAAGAAATGGCTTAACGACACAAAATACATATTATTAGTCATATTTACTCTTTTAATATTGATTAATATATAACAAACATTAAAATGATAATCCCTTGCTTCCTTCAGTGTATTTTAATACTGTATTAAGTAAGACTTCAATATAATAAGTCTAAAGTTAATAGTTTACACTATTACACAAAGTATAAATTCTTTAATAAGTTGAATAGTTTAACAGTTTTAAATGTGGACATTTTTTGAGAATTAAACTGCACAAATAATATACAGCAGAACCCAAAGTTAACAGACATTCTCAAGACTGAAGATTTTATCTACTTAAGACAAGTACTCATTAACACTACAACAACCAAAATAGTTATTTTGACTGGTTTCATTTTTCAGCTTGCTATATTTTTAACATAATTTTTACAAATGTGCTATTTTTTGAGTTTTCACATAATACTGTTTTAAAACCAAAATTATGTTTTTCCTATTTCTTTGATATTGTGAAACATTGAATTGCATTACATCTAAAACTGCCAAATCAATCATTTTGACCAGCGGTGGTTAATATAGTTTTGTTTATAGAGGAAAAAAAAAACAAACATTTCTTGAGGTATAAAGATTGAAAGAAACTGAATTTTTTGAGAAAATTTCAATAAATTCCAGAGTGTAAAAAGAACTTCAGAAAGCTTTGAATGTTTTGGAAGAATGTGAAAAGGCATTATCAGATATTTACTATCACATTTACAGTTTCTATCTAGTTTCAGGTACAAATGCAAATATAAACTACAACGAAGAAGATATAGAACGAAGAAAGTATAGCATGTAATAATTTTCATAAAAATTATTTTGTCATAAATACTTTTGCTACAGGCTCATCTTTCATATGTTTTAATTTTTCTAACAGCATTGTTCACCAAGGTTGTCTCGACAATTATATTTATATCTAAAAATGCTTCAAGATAGATATAATAATATTTTGGTTAGTAATAAATAGCACATACAACAGATAGAAGTAGATTTATAGTCTATCCTTTGGAGTCTAGTTTCTTTCAAAGAACTGGCTCAGAACATATTTTGGATATCACAAAATATATTAAATTACATATTAACTCCATTAGGAAATCCCTTCCGAAAAATGATAAATTTGCTTTACTTCTCAAAAACCGAAAAGTCTACTTGTTACATTAAGTACCATAAGATCTGAATATGTACCATAAGATCTGAATATGTACTGTACAGTACAGATGTTTCCTACTAAATCGTAATACAAGCTTATTGAAACATGCCTTAAAACCATTTAGATGTATCAATACGCAAAATGCATGGAGTTTGTATGAGTTACCTGGAGAGAAAAATAAAATTAGACTTAGCAAGAGATTACAGTAAAAACAAAGTAACTCTAATGAAATATATATCAATTTAAAACTTACTGCTACCCAGATCTAGATTAATAACGTTTAGAAAATATATAATTTCAACTGTATAAAATTATAAAATTGATTTTAAAATTTATTATATAAGCTTTAGTTTACTATAAAAAGTAATTTTTACAAAGAAAAAATGTTAAATAAGCAAAAACCATCATTACATTCTATTTTTATCAGATTACTTATACTGTGTTATCAAGTATAGTATATACGTGTAATATCAATGTTTTGTGTGTTATAATTTTTAAATTTTTCGAAAAATAATTTGTTTATATTATCAAGACCGTTTTTTTTCTTGTTTTCTTTTGAAAAGTTTATTTTGAATTAAAATTTAACTTTTATGATTTTTTTTCTTACAGAACTCAGAGAAATAAAATCAGACCGGATAACGGTTGGCATCCTCCCGTTCAACACATGTAATATAATGTAGGTGCTAGGCAATACGTGTAAATAACCGTGCAAGCATTCTGTTCCTATTATCGGTGACGGATCATTCGACACATTAGCATAATAGAACGACGCGTCGTTAAGGAATTCGGTGAAATATTTCAGTGCCAATACAAAATTCTAAAATACTTCCAAGGAAATTTTAAAAAATTGACTTTAACACCGCAAACTTTTTTACTGTTTCGTAAGTTAACCATTCGAACGGAGAAAGTATTTTCCTACACAAAATACTTCGGTCAGAGTACAAATAAATTTTATTCTCTCAGCATGCGTTTTCGATAAATACCGAAAAGGCCTAACTCTAAATTTATATCTATATTTACTGTATAAATATTCGATACTGTCGATATATATTTTTGAGGCCTTAATTTTTTATAATAAACGTCATATTTTATTATACGCTGTTAAGGCTAAGGAAAATTTAGCCCGATTTTTAATCATCCGCGTATCATGTAATGATAAACTAGGTTAAATTGTGCCTGGGAAGACATCTGACAATATTTTATGATAATCAGTGATCAAATCACCTTAATACTGTTCATTTTTTTAATAGAAACTTTAATTTTGAAAACTTTCTTCCAAATATTGGAAATTTTTGTAGAATAAAAAGCGGTTAATACCCCAACTAAGTTTAAACGTAGGCCTATATATATTATTAATGTGTAAAATATTTACTATATTAATGTGTTGATTTTAATTTAATGTAATTTACACCCAAGCTGTTAACTTATTAAATTGTCATTAAATTTCTTTGATATTTTATAATAAAATCAAAAATATATCGTACGTGGCATTTATTTAACGGAAGATATTTTTTGATTTTCTGTTATGGTAATCGAATTAAAATATTTATTTATAATGCAAAATCTGTTTCAAATTTACATTTTATTTCTAAGAAACAGTTACATTTTTAAGAAGAAAAGATTTGCTTAATTAATTATTAATTAAAATTCATAATTTTCAGAATATATATGTAAATTCCCGCAACGTGGTAACAAAACTGGTGTTTTGCGAAAAGCCATTTTATTGCTTTAACTCCAGTGCATTTCGACGAACTTCTCTTTGCTTTTGAATTGACCCCAAGGATTATTTGGCTTCTTGTCGTCCGCTGCTTTGTGTTTTGCTTGAAAATTACTCGCCCGACTTTTGTAGTCGGACTTTTTTATTCCGTAATTCTCTCTAAAATACACAATATTATACATTTTACCATCTGAAAATTGCCCGGAACCGTTGGACAGAATTTTTTTTTTAATCGGAATTACCTGTTATCTCGACTTCCAGACTGATTGAAAGGGTTAATTTCGTAACCTCGCATTTTGTACTGTTGGATTCAAGAGATCGGTAGTCTCCGAGAGTAGATGCAGTTAATTTGTAGAATTAGATCAAAATGGACCACTTAGTAATCCAAATTAAAGCTACCTAATTGAAAAAAAAAAATTCGTGTTAACTCTTAAATAATTTTAAATTTTTAGTAAATTACATACGTTTCCGTTATTCGATAAAATGGAAATTAACGTAACTTTTCTTCCAAATAATGTATTATTAATAAACTTATTTAAATGGAAAATTTATTCTGGAAATTATAATAGTTCACGGGATTAGAATTTTATCGTTTTCTAAAGTTATTCGTAAATACGAATGTGATTATGTAAATTAATAAATTTATATAATTAGCTTTCGTAGAATTTAAGGTTTTATTTACGAGCGAAACTCATTGACACGGTCGATTATCGGTCGATAATGTAAACAAACCAGATAAATCGACATGTGGCCACCGACAATAGTTTATCGTATTCCCGCGTGGGGAGACACCATCGTACGACTCCTGGAGAGATTTCGCCGTTATTTTTGATGATAAAATCGTCAATCATTTTTGGTGAATTTATCGGTTATCGAAATATTTAAAAAATAGTTTCTAAACGCGTAAGATTATTATTATTAACGCGTAAACTAAAATAACACCAGACCGATAGAGGAGATTAATATTCGCTTTTTCTTGTTTTCCCGTGCGGAGTTTAGACAAATCATCGCCAGGAAGAAGTTAAAGTTCATTTCGGGAGGGAATCGATCTCGAATTCTCCGTCGATAATTAAGTTAATTCTCTTGAATTTTCTGTAAGGTTTGCTCCTAAGGTATATTCTCCATTAATTAAATAAATAGGAGAGACTACGAACAGATGTAATAAAATCTTTTTAAAAAAATATATATATATATATCGATAGTCACGAGCGGCAATCCGTGTCGGTGGGCGCTTGTCTAAGGACGATTTATAAGTGTCCGTAATCTCGCGGGACACACTACGCTTTCGCTACATTCTTCTATCGTATTACATTATTAGATACACACAAAATTTATTCCCGAGTAAAGATACTTGTAGGATTTCGCTACTATTTATATATTTTAATACTTAATTGTGTTATATAAAGTTTTAAAAACGACTACGCCACCCGTCACCCCTCGGGTCACTTATTACTTAAATTTATAAAGAATAGGAGACGCCGTAATAGGCAATTGTAGGCGTAACGCTTCCGTTTATTTCGTTTTATAGATTTTCAATCCAAATAAAATACGGAGGCGTACGAATGGAAGGATTTAGAAACGTATAGAAAACGGACACGTGGCCATTGTATTTTACGTGTATAAATAATAAATTTAAAATAATTAGAACTAGCATTATCTAAATTATAATCAAATTTGCAGTTAGGTACTACTATAATCAGCACTCGTCGGGTGGCCTAGTACTCGCAAGTTACCGACCATGCAAGGTAATTTCCATATCGCACCGACATTATACTGTGTTTAAAGCTATCGAATTTTCAACGCGTCGCGTCGATAAATCGCACTTTTTAAGTGTCCCCGCCACCAAAAACCCTACGGATTAAGATGTAAAGTGCCAAAAATGTCAGAGATGAGTTTGGTATTAATTTTAACTTTCCCGGTTGTTTTATGTGACAGAAAGAAAGTATGGTCGTGGATCAATCTCGAGTAGGGTGGGACTTAATGACGATTTTACTGGTTTTTAGAAAACTCGTCCTTACCCTCAAATGAAGCTTTTCGCCATTTTATAATAGGCCTAATTAAAAACGTAAAAAGCTTTTTTTTAATAAAATTTCGTAACGGGTGGCGCCACACGCTATTTTAAATGTTGCCGGAAAAGTTAAGCAACTCGTTGCTGGAATTTTTTTCTATGTAATTTATATCGATTATAGTTAACTGATATTTCAGTTATGTAATTTCAAAATTTGCTATCAGTTGTTTATATTAAAAATAGATCTAAGCTGTCATCGTATTTGTTTAACGATACATTAATTAAAAATATTCAAAAAGTATTATAAATCTATTAACGAATATAAGCGGAAAATTAACTTGCCTGATAATTTATTAGCTAAGAAATTAAATTTAATAAATTTAAAATTATTTTGAAAATTGATATAAATTTTCAATATTAAATTCTGCCAAAAGTACGATCGTGTAGGGAAACTTACTTTTTATTATGAATTATTAATAGTTACATGGTGAATTTTTGAATATCTTTTACTATAATATGTATAGGCCTAATAGTTTCTAAATATTATATTATTAATTCCATTGAAAATTTTCTCCATACATTAAAAATAGAATTTGCTACATCCTATCAGATAAACGATGTTAATACTTTATTTGTTATTGATAAAAGTTTAAAATATTAAATGGATAAATTATCTCACATTTGTAATTCGATTGCAACATTTCCCGATATTAAAAATTAACCACCACAAATTTATTTTCAATTTCTTTGTTACGACAAAATTTTTTGATAACATAAAATTACCATTTTCTTATATTTTAATTAATCCAGTTATATATTTTCGAACGCGCGAACAAGGAATGGCGAATTTTTTAATCGGATGGTCTCATTCTATTTCAGAAGGATCCGGAAAGGCCACGTGCTATTTTGGAAGTTGTACAAGTGTAATTTTACGGGACGCCTAACAAGAAATAATAAAGGAAAACGATCAAAAATATTACGTGTACTATTCGTAAGCTATTTTTTAGTTAATTTATCTGAAAAATTATGGAAAATGGGTGCCCAAAAAGTTATTTGTCGCATTAGATGCTAGAAAAGTCCGCGGGTTTCTCATCTACGACATAGATCAAAGTTGCAACATCATTATCACAATAGGGAACGAAACTGGTATTATCATAGCTTAAATTTGCCATTACCAAGTTCAATTTTCGAACAATTTTATTACACGTGTAATTATAAATCGGTTAAAGAATATTTTATAAATTACATCGAGGATTGCTTCTAAACATCGTTAATATTAATTAATATATTTCTAAAATTAACGAACAAACATTATATCATAAAATCTCGGAATATTTTTCGATTTTTGAAACATCGTTCGTCAAACGATATTAATTCTGTGATAAAAATATAATCAGAATGGCCTTCGATAAAATATTGTAATCTAGTTAATCTAGCGAGAAATATTTATAAATACAACATATTCGACTTATCTAATATAATTTATTGGAAGTAACGACGATCCACTTCGTTTCGATAATACTGTAATCGAGAGAACCGCCTAAAACTATAGATTTTAAATAATAAATTGCAGATAGTCTGATAATGACACCGGCCTGCTACTCGGAGAGGCTCGGGTTCGATTTCCTATTAATAAATTTTGGGGCAGAGTTTAACTGGGATTCGTCCGCTTACCCAACCCACGATTTGTCAGAAAAGACCCTCTTAGTGTCCGCACGGCAGGAAGAACAATGGAAAAAACCTAATGGGTGGCCATATTTTTAAATTAGACTTTAGTATAAGTAAAAATATAGAAAGGGGCGGTTTTTTCTTCATTATTTGATTTTAGAAGGAAATTATTCATAAATTTTTTGGGGTTTTCAGTTAATTTTAAAATTAGTTTTCATTTATTTTATATAATTAAATGTGTATTTTTTTAATAACTAATTCATATGTTTAATAAACATTTCATACATTTTGTCGAGTTAGCATTTCAGTAAAAATAAATCTATTTATTTATATTCGTGCAAATTGATAATGTCTCTAATGCCTTTCTGTGATAAGTATTTTCCTATTTGAAAAGAAAAATAAAATCCGCGCTTTCATTATGTTATTTCATTTAAAGCCTTCACGTATAAACTTTATTCGATGCGAAAAGTGACGAAAATTAATTAATTCCGAAAGATTAAAATATGCAAAGTGAATGAAAGAAATGCGTGGGTTTTTTGTAGTAAAATTCGTTCAAAAATTGTTACATTTATTTGAATTATTTAAATCGGCTCGATAATAGAGGAATTTCTGATAACTTTAAAAACTATGCTTTGACAAAACCACTCGTTTCTACAGGGAAGAACATTTAATAAATTCCGCGTAGTCAGTTGGATGTGTAAGATGCGAGGTGAACACGTTCTCGATTCAAAAAATTACAGAACATTGTTTTAATATTACCTAACGTAGAATAGCAAATTTTAAATCGATGGAAGATTAACCGCGAGGTACGGATTGGCTCAATTTGGAACGTTAGTTTTCAATAAACTAGTAGTAGTAGGCCTATAAAATTACAAAAATATTTTTCGTATATTCTAAAACAGACTGTAAACATTGTATATTTACAGTCCATTTAGATATTCTTTGCTTCGATTCCACCACGATTCCGACGAATCGTGGTGGTTCTAGATTGCACATGTTCCCAAACGACGATATACATTTAATTCATTTGGTCAAAACTAACGTCTGGTCGTAAATTTAGCTTAATTTGCCGGCTATTTCAGTCACTATCGAGTAAATATGGCGTCGTAGTGAAAAAACTACACGTTTGTAATGGCGACGAGCGTAACGGGAATTAAAACGTTAAAAGAGATTTACCTTCAGGGAACGTGGTGTAATTGAGTTAGGACTTGTAATTCTAGGACGTTTCCGCTGTTTCCCAAACGGCTACCTCTTCTGGTGTTAAGGTTCTCCAGAAATCTTACGTATCTCTCTGGAATCCAACCGATGTCCTCGGCCCTACGCATCCGTCGTCCTGGCTGGGATCTCCAGGCTGGATAGAAAATTAAAGATGCTAGTGAATGGGAAAGGTGGAAGAAGCCTCGAGTCGGTCTATGGAATTCGACCTACAGCCAGCTACGAAAGGCGAAAACCCGAAATAACATCGAAGGGAACTTTACAAGCAGAGTGGATGATGTAAAACCGCCGCTCCTCTTTTATACTCTTCCAAAACCTCGGACTTTGACCCCGTCTGTAGATTTCGATGGCAGCGCGATATCGCTTGCCTTTTCCAATTAAACTCTCCACGCTCGTGTCCACCTAATATTCTACCACTTCGAAGATTTACAAAATACAATGCGAAGAAGGTGGCTTTTTGCGTTTACGCTATCCGGTGGAGAGGGAAACCGGGGATTTATCTTCGGTTCCTAAATTTTCCCCGAGCCGAGGAGAATTCCCCAGTTCCCTGGTTTCGGGGTAGGAATGACTATTGTAGGGTCCATAATGGTTCCTATCCCTATAAATTAACGTTATTTTTACTAACAAAAAGTCTTTGTTTTTTTATTAATAAAGAAACATTCTACGTATTATAAACACGGTTCAAAAAACAAAAATGGGGCAAAGAGCCCGCTAAGGAGGGAAAGGGGCCTCGCTATACTCCGGGTCTGGTTATCTGTTCGGTGTAAATTAAACGTGCCACATTTCACGTATCGTGTTTCGTAAATAGCCTTTATCGTATAAGCCTAAATAAAAACTAAATTTTAATTTATAAATCTAAGAATTTTGCTAGAACTTTAAATTATGTTGTACGTTAAATCATATAAAAATAAAATATTTTAAAGTGTATCGTTTTAGGAGAAAATTCCTATTTTATTAATTCTACAGGTAATAATCTATTAATAAAATAAAATCGGTAATTTTTATAATATTTAGACACTATTTAATATACAGTATATTTAGAAGTATAATTATCATATATTTGTGGTTACTATCAAAATTGGCTTTAATAAAATTACAGTAATTAGTTTATTATTTAATTGTAAATATATATAACTTATTTTCCTACCAATTTAGATAATTTATGAGATTAATAAAATTTTTAAAGTGAGTGTATTTAACCATTTTTATTATTTAAGCTTCTGTTAACCTACGTGGCCTTAACGAAGGCTTCTATTACTTAAAACTAGAGCTTTTTATTTATTTAAAACTTATTATTTTACGTGATAAATTGCTTTAATTGAATTAATATTCGGATCTAATCGAGATTTATTTAACCGAAATTCATTTTTTATAACGAAACCAGGCAAGAAGTGTAATACCAGCATCGATTTATTACCGATGAAAATTTTATCCGATTAAAAAAAATCAAAATGAAGAAAATTTTTTATTTAAATTAAAATTTTTTTTAGATATTGGCTTGATAATTTTCACATAGGCCTAGGTGTAAATTGTATGCTAATCGAAGCGTATCTATAGATTTAATATTAGAAATGTTGCATTAAAATGCATAAATAACAATAATTTACATGTGAAACCGCTATTGTGCGTTTAAAAATCATTTGTTAAATTAAATACGCGTGCGTGTAATTAAACAAATTTCAAATTCCTAAGGCAGAGAAATATTTCGTAATATAGAATTAAAGATTTACATTATTTAATTATAAAAATGATAACGGAATGAATAAAATTGTATTCTTAAAATTTTTAAGTTTCTATTTATAATTCTTATATTAACGAGCGACTCAATTAACCGGGAGGAAAACGAACTTAATTAATAAATGATGGCGTATTGGATCGTTATTGCTATTTTCGATTTTTTCGAATATAATTAGGGCGCAGGCGCCGAAGGAGAGTTACCCGAGATTTATTTCTTTGTTATTTCTTGAAATATAAACAACGGATAAACATAATAAATATAAACACGTCGATAAATATAAACACGTCGATAAACACGTAATGTTCACGTGTCGGTCGAATGTGCAAGGTGCATCTAGCCACAGCGGAGGCAAATGCTCCAAAATTTCTCATTTTTAAATAATTAGTGCGACCTTCTCTAAAAATAGTATTCGTTTTACGAATAAAATCAAACCGGCTTTCGTCACTTAATAGTATAATCTATTGATATAAATTACAATTTAATTTCGCCATATGTAAATTATGTTAATCGTAATTAGCAGTGGCGGATTTCTTAGGTTAATATTTTATTAAATTGATATTTTAATTACATTTTTATCGATGGAATTTGTACGAAAAAGTTTCGTTAGTTACAATTCTTTGAACGTTTGTGTTTGGAAAATACATTTAATAAAATGTCTGGAGTCTATTTTAATTATCTGGATACGGTCAATCAAAGTCCACATAAATAGGGACTATCACAAAAATATTAATCTGGAACGAACATCTATTTTCGAACATTTGAATGGTATTTTTGTTTTTTTCTTTTTTTGCTCCCCAACGTCGATTAAAGATATTCGGAAATCGTACTTTGTTCGAAGGTCAAAAGGTCCTTTCTCTTAAAATATTATTTATTCATAAAATAAATTTATAACGGGTTCTCTTACGAAAAATTTCCGAAATGTTTATCTTAAAACTCGAGAAAGAATCACCATGGTTAATATTCATTAATACCTGCGTGTCTTCCTGGTTACAACAATTTTTGGCATTTTTTACATTAAATTATATTTTGATTATCCTTTATAAAAAAAAAAAGTAATTCCTATCTTAACACCTTTCTTATTTTAGAAGCTGTGTAAATTTCTATAATATTTACTCGATGATTAAAAGAAACTAGATTTGTTTTGGGCCAAGATTGTTTGCGATGGTGTTGATGTAAACGTTGCACATGTTACCATTAGAGTTTCCTTGATCCGAAGATGTAATTAGGATAGAACCCGATGGACGAAATCGCAGATAAGAGAATAGCTTATTTTTGATAGTGCTATTTAGTTGAAACTTATTTGTATTCACTTTCATTTTTAATCTATTAATATATGAGGTCTATTTAAAAATAAACCTCATATATTAATAGAAAAAATATGTGCTGTATATATATATATATAATTGTTTTCTGTGTTGACAAAATTATAACTTATTTGTTGTCGAAGCAAACGTATTATTTTTTCTAACTTAGTAATTTCAAGATGGCGACGTCTCGAAATAGAATCAAGTAGATTTTAATGACAATATTTGGTCGGTGTTTTAATTGCATTTATTATTGGATTTTAAACGACAATATATACTAAACCGACTATCTAAGAAAAGATAAAGTTTGCAAGATAAGTGTTCTTCGGTGGGAATGAAGAATGCCAACCGTCAGATTTTAAGTTATTTTTATATTTTTTCATCTAAACTTAATTATATTTAATTTGTTTTTATAATATAATAGGCCTATATAATAATTATAATTACTCGCAGTCGAATATTTATACGGTTAGGCAATAAGAAATCTGCTGCATCTATTTTATTATTAGAACTAGCAGACCCCGCCACGCCTTGTTGTGGCTCAAAATGTATCTATTATAAATGTATAACACTTCCCCGTGGGGGAAAATTTTTCGAAAAATTTTTTCTTAGTGTACATTCTCTTGACGNTAGAATCAAGTAGATTTTAATGACAATATTTGGTCGGTGTTTTAATTGCATTTATTATTGGATTTTAAACGACAATATATAATAAACCGACTATCTAAAAAAGATAAAATTTGCAAGATAAGTGTTCTTCGGTGGGAATGAAGAATGCCAACCGTCAGATTTTAAGTTATTTTTATATTTTTTCATCTAAACTTAATTATATTTAATTTGTTTTTATAATATAATAGACCTATATAATAATTATAATTAATCTCAGTCGAATATTTATACGGTTAGGCAATAAGAAATCTGCTGCATCTATTTTATTATTAGAATAATTCCGTTGCAAGCAGAATTACATATTAATTCTAGAATTTAATCAATCTGGATAAAGTTCACTTATTTAAAATTAAATCCCCGAAAGGGCCCACCTCGTAAATTATATTTTCGTTTTAAGACCGTGTCATTGGTTACTTAAGCAGATTTTATCCGCGAGGGAGCTTTTCGCATCCGAAATGTAACGTTTTTTTTATATTTTAAATATTAAAAAAAGATATTTTACGGATTTAAATTGAATTTTATCGAGTCGATAAGATTCAATCGAATGGGATCATCCACTCTCTTAGCAACATTATTAAGCCTATTTTACTGACCGAATTTTAGATACTGTACGTCTAAACAATTTATTATCTCCTTTTAAATTTAGGTCTTTTATATTCGATAAGGAATAATAGAATATATTTAGCAAATACGCCAGAATAAATCATAAATATATATTTATTCAGTACATTATTTGCAATTTTTTCAATAATTTATTAGTTTCCTTCTAAATATTAATATAAAACTTGCAATTAAATTTTGAAAATTTTATATACTGTATTAATATATTATACATAAACTATTTATAACTGTAAGACAAATATTGAGCTATTAAATTAACAGAAATGTTTCTATTTCCAAGATGGCGGATACACTCGAATCGGGTCGGGTCGTTGTAACTCGTGCTACTATGCACCGGACGAATCAATATTTATTATAAATTAAGAGAAATAAATAATAACACAAATAAACTATTTCGATTTTAATCTTTCGTATCATTTAGAATTTAAGACGATTTTTTTTCACATTTTCGAATTTTGGAGGGAGGCGCGTTTTAAATTCGTGGGTTTATTTCTAATTAGCCACCATTTTATCCTGGAAAATCCCTTATATTTTTTTAATGCTACGTGTCTAAAATTCGAAGTACTTCTGTTAATTCTAATAAAACGCCGGAGTATAGGCTAGACCCAAAAAAATACATCGTCAATTGCCAGTGGCCTTAGTAACAAGTTAGAATCGTAAATATCCTTGATTCGTAAAATTATGGGGTCAAGGATTCAGATCGCTCGAATTCGATTTACAGTCCATAAAGAGATATTTACCTTTCGAATAATATACATTACGTTAATAAGAATACGTAAGAAAAACTTTAAAAAAAAACTTGTGACGAAAGATTTCGTTATAAAAGTAATTGACGTAAATTCCAATTTTATATTAAATTGTTATTGGTCGACCGAAAATAAAATAAAAGAAGCGATTGGTTGCAGATTTAAATTGTAGCCTTGTAAAAGTAAGATGTTTAGAAAATTATTTTTAAACTATTTTTAATAATTTAAAATAAACGATAATTAAATATATACAAAATTTTAAATTTATAAATTTCTATTTTGTTTTCTTGTCGTTAAATAGAACTCCATTAAAAACGCTGGAACTTTTGTATAAGTACTGTACGCGGTCGTATGTATATGGCGTTTAAGTTTCTTAAAATATTTTTCTATAATTAATCCAAAATCTATAATTATAACACGATAATAAGTTTAAAAATCGGGAATTTTTGATATCTTTTCTAAAAATAATCGTTTAATAATTTTGTGAAATTTAAAAAAGTGCTTTGAATAAGAATGCTCTTTAGGTTATCTCTCATTGAGATTAGGTGAAGGTTCTTTGCGTAATCTGTTATTCTACTTTATTGATTTGTTTATATTAAAATATAATGTTTATTTTAAATATTCACTTCCATTTTTTTTAAAATTTTATATTCGAAAGAAAGGAAAAAGAAACATTATTTTTTAGAAATTAAAATCGCCCGATAAATTTTTGGTTGGTTGTTTGAATTTTCTTGATTAGAAATTTTGGATAAATAATTAAAACCAGGCAATTCTTAAATATTTCATTTTTATTACTTTTAAAATGTTTTGCTCAAAAAACAAAATATGTATTTTTATTTTATTTTTATCGGGGAAAAATTGAATATATTTTGAAAAATAAAATAAATTTTTAATGATTATTATGTGTTAAATTTATTTTAAAATTCTATTAATAAATATATCTAAATTTTAGAAAACTAAAAAGGAACTCGGATAAATTAATTTAGTTTGGATAAACTAAAGAACGTCATCCGTTTAGAAGGCATTTTCGAATGGCGAAATTAGTCCTTAATAATTAAAAAAATATATCCAAAAAGTTGTCTATATTACGAAATAAAATATTTTAATGATATTTTTCAATTTTTACTACTATTTTTTTTTTACAACACGTATTTTAAATAATTGAAGAAAGCCTTCGATAGTTCTAGGTTAAAATAACAGATGGCGTCCTAGTCTATCACCAAATTTCAAAGTAATTTTTTTTTTCTGTTTTTGTTGCTGTTAAGTGGCGCGCCGACATTGCCGATGGACGCTTGCTTCGAGATTAATTCATCACTTTTTCTCGCTGGAAAAAAATAATAATTAATTAATTAAGTGCGAAAATCGACTCGGTTAGGCATTATTATAAGGCGAAGAACGGGCGAAAGGAGTTAATTACCTTTGATGGATAAAGAAAAGTGGATGATTGATCGGTTCCGTGGATATTCTTTGTGATACATACGTAATTTCCCATGTCGCTCCAATCGATATCACGAATGATCAGATCTCCGCTATCTAAAATCTATAATTAATTTAAAAAATAAAGAAATATTTCATTCCGGTCGAGCGAAAGAAATAAAAGTGGCATATTATTACTCGATTTATTACCAAACAAAACTTTATTTATAAGAGAAGAAGGACGAATTAATTCCAAGAATGCAATTTTGACCGACTCCAATGCTATAAACATTAAGAGCAAATACTTAAAATGATTTTAAATGCGTGTTGACGTCCTACGTTCGAGCAATTTAAAAGTGTTTATCATCGGAGTTTAAAATTTGTTTCGTTTCCTAGAATTTGTTTCGTTCGTCGCATTGCTTAGCAAATTACTACGAAATTAAATCGATGCAGTAATTATAATACATTGAGCGGCCAATCGAAACAAATTAAACTCGCAACAAAATGTAGCCGAAACTACAAATAAGTTTGAATATTTGAATTTTGTTATACTCACTTCGTATTTTTCGCTTTTCTGGACGAGTTCGTCGTCTTGATTTATCCATTTGACTGCAGGTTCCGGTTTTCCGGCTACCCTACAGAATAACTGAACGTCACTTCCAGTGTATTCCATTCTTATGTGGGTCCACATGTATATTCTGGCAGGAATACCTGTCGACGACAGATGGGATAATTATCGTATCATCGAATTAATTTCTTCTATTTATAAACTGAAAACTCACCGTAGGACTTTTTAGTGAGGCAGAACGCATCTTCGGTTATCTTACTTTTGTTATTCGTTTCGATTTTGGTATTGGTACTAATTCTATAATAAGGATTTTGGGCAACACAAGTGTATTCGCCCGTGTCTTGTTCGGTGGCGCAATCGATGAAAAGTCGCGACTTAGTAAAACTTAAACCCAACTGAGGATTAGTATCGAAATTACCGTCGTCCACTTCGTTCATTTCCATCGGATTCTGGAAGAAACGTCGAGCTCGAGACGTGTCTTAATTATCTCTTGGTCCATTTTAAAAATAACCTTACCTGTTGGATCCTTTTCCCATTCTTTAACCAGTGAATGGTGGGAGGAGGATTCCCTCCGGCTTCGCATTCTAATACTTTATTATCTCCCAAAGATACGTAAAGAAATTCGGGTGGTATACTACGCATTCGAAGATGTGGATTCACATTACTATTTCCTACAATAGTTTATTACGGTCAATTATATAATTTTTAGGATACCGTTACGTTAATTGCAAACGTCTTACCATTTCTCGTGTTTCTAGAATGTTTCATAACGCCCTAAAAACAAAAAAATTAAGTTTAATGTAAGCGATGGATTAATTATAATTAAAAATACGTCAAACGTAATATTAAATCTTACTCCTAATCCTCTCCTTGTTCGACTATATTCGATATGACGTCCAAAAATGGCGGGCAACAATATTAATGTTGTGAATAATATGGTACGACCTGACATTGCGGCTGAAGGTGATAATGGAAGTTACCTGATGAAAATACAATATATATATAAAGATTACGTGGTTTATAACACAAACAGTAAATTAAAGGGAATATGTGCCATAGAGCTGAAGGATTCGGTTTATATTTGATGTCACGATCTTGGGATGCCGAAATTATTTCTCTCGGTATCAGAGGGATTATCCGGTTAATATCGAAAGAATTAAGACAGGAAACAAAGAAAGCTAATATTCTCGAAATCTTTCGATTTTCATTAGACGAAACGTGATACTAATAGAAAATACTACGATCATTAATCCGTCAGGCAATAATTGCAAAGTTTCAGTTTAAAATTAAAATCATTAATAGTTTGAAAATTTACAAGATCGGTGGCTTTTAATAAAAATATCGAATTTATTAATTAATTAAAACGTCGAATGCAATGCAAACTACCAGCCTACAAATACGCACCAATGCCTGGCATTCCGTTATAGAATGGGGTTTAAGAAAAAAAAAAAACTTACCAGGCGTTTGCTAAAGAACTTGTTCCTCAAGAGAGTTAACAAAAAGTGAACCAAATTTTATCCCTGCCCAGTCACGTGGCTTCACCCTGTCTCGAGGGGAAAGTGAAAGAAAGGATAATATATTGCTCTCGGTGAAGGGTTGGCCACCTGGTCCCTTCTTTCTAGTTTCCTCTTAGGGGTGCCTTTAATCGACTTCCAAATTCTTGTCGGCTGCATTTTGTCCAACTGCACCCACACTGCAATTAAATCGAACGGCTTTTTTTTCCCGGTTTCTTCTCGGTTTGTTGGTTTCCCTTCCTCCCCTCGGGTGGGAACGTCCTTGCCAAAAAGAATAGGAGCGTTCCAAGCTACACCCGCTTTCACTAAAGTATACCTGCGGTGGGAATAAACGTACCGGGCGGCTGGAAACAAACCTCTTGGAAAACCGTGTATAAAATTCTGTGCGATCATCAATCGCTCGCTTACACCACAGGGCGGTTTAAAGATTTTTCCCTCTGTTCTAATCGAGATCGGCGCGGTCCGTTTGTAATACTTCTTCCCTGTTATTAACGAAAAGGGGAGACGACGGGTAAAATCCCCTTCCTGTTGACCAATTTCACTTAAACCCACAGAAATTAATTATAAGGACGAGTTTCTCCCAGCAAAATTCTTCGTCGTTACTGATTTAGAACTAGGTCACCGGATAAACTTTCTGTTATAGCTTTGTTTACTACACCCGGTTACGGTTAAGCAATTTCGTAAAATGGGTTTTTTTTTTCTTTTTGGGGGTTCCTGATTCAAATTTGTAGAATGTAATCGTCTAATTATTACACTCTCGATTAATCGTTATCATATATTGTTCTATTGACATTATCCAGCCGAGTGTGAATTTTTATCTATGGGCTTTTTATAGTTTCTATTGATAAAATTCGTGAATGTATTTAAAAGAAACATTGTTTGTCTACCTCGATTAACAGAAACGATAGAAAATTCAATAAATAATTAGAAATAATTTGGTAAAGGATTTATAGTTTAAAAATATATAAAGTGTGTTAATTTACAATTACATTTAACCGTTATCTGTATATTTATTTCTTTAGGAATGTGAAATGTAGCGGTCGACACACACACCTATTTCAATTACGTAAGATGAAAATACCTAGAACACAATTAGACTTGTATATAATTTTTTTGAATAAAATTTTAAATAAAGTGCGTTTTAATTACGGATTCAAATTGAAAAATTCTAATAATTTAAAGTGCGAAATCTTTCATATTAGGCCTAAATCCAAGTATTTTACTGTTTTGTTTTTTCATTCGGAGTAACAAAAGTAGAAACTAATTGAAAAAAAGTAAATGAATAAAAGAAAAATTTTTTTAATCATTTCCTATTCATTTACAATTATAATGATTTAAAGGCGCATTCTTAAGTTAGAGGAAATGACATTGCTCATTTGTAATGCAAATAAACGTCATTCTTAACCATTACGAAACTAGAAAAATCAAATTAAAAGTCGTTCTACAGATCGGAATTAAAAATAAAACTCGATGCCATCATCGGATGAGATAAATCAATTATCGGAACCCAAAGCCAATATTTCTATGCAACTCGACGTTAATCCGTTAAGCAGCGAAATTACTTAAAATCAATCAATTTGCGGACGGCTCCGATGCCTAAAAAACAAGTCGGCCGCCATAAACAAGGCGATTAGTACGAACCCGTATTGTAGGAACCGTCCGAAAAATTTGTTTATGTCTGGATGCAAACTTCGGTATTGGCCGGTTCACACGCTCCTGTACGTGTTCCAGATAATTTGGCCTTTCGCCACTCCGGCAAGGGTCAGCCAGTCCTAAGGTCACAAGGTCGAAGGATAACCGGGTCACCGTGTCTGGTGCGGTAAGTTTGTATTGTGTATTGAAACCCCCGAAACGGTTCGAGATGGAAAATTTTGTAGATATATTTTTTTCCCTCACCTTTTCCGATTGTTGTTGACGGTTTTTAGTATGAGAAAATTGTTTCCTCGTCCGCTTCAATGGAAATATTTGGCAAGAAAAAGCGGAAATGGGTCGGATTTCGGTAAATAAGGCGGTATTCTTAAAGAAACACTCTTTTTCTACTATTGAGGTTTGGCGTGGGGGAGAAAAGGGGTTTCACGGTTCCCACATAAATTTCATTGTTGACTCTGTGAACAAAAATACTACATTTCTTATACAAACAGCTCGAAAACCCAAGGTCCTTTTCTACCTCCTGACGTCTAGACACCGATAAAATCAAAAATATTCTATACTCTGTTACTTGAGAAAATTAAAATTGCCCGATAAAATTTCTATTTAGCTAAAATCGAATAAAATTTCTATATATATTTTAATATCCACTAACATAATTAAATTAGTTTTTCAACGAATTCGGTTCTCAAATTTTCTCGATTTCAGCAAAGCAACTAATTGTATTTAAAATAATCTTACGAAAATTATATAATTACTGTAGTTTACTTAATAGTTAATTACTATTATATATATATATAAATAAATAACGTTTGTGCTGGATTAACGCTTGTAAATTCTTTCGGGTTATAAGGGAGTAATATAATATCGTAAATAATGGAGAAGCGCGTAAAGAAGAAGCCGAGACGATTAGAACGAAGAGCAGAGAAGGATGGAGTTAAATAAGAGAGGATGAAGCTTACCTGTGCGCAGAAGGTCACTCTAACTTGGCAGCGAATGGTGGCGAAGAGGAGAAGCTTGTACTTTAAATACCCGCGCCGAGTCCCTTCCCCCCGACGTCCACCTGTCGTGGCCCTGTCTAACACGTGTGGCGAGTACGGATGTCAAACCACTAATCGGGCCATCCGGACTACTAAATCCCACCCCTGGTGACCAGTTCCACGCCGATTATTAAATTTAAAGTTTTAAAATTTCATCCGTTTTAAATAATAGAAATCTTGTATAATTCTGTTAAGCGATAACTGTAGGAAATTATGAGGATCCCGATAATGTGTTAGAATCATTATTTGAATAGAGACGTCCTTTCGATTAACGATCTGTTGAAGAAAATCCTCTTTTAATCGGAAGGAAAAATAAATAAGTAAAAAATAAGAGCATTTACGGAACTAAGAATTCTCTATAATCCGCCATGTTGCTTTAATCTCTTTAAAATCGAACGGAGTGGGTAGATTTTTCGAGTGTCGGCGGATTTCGCGTTGTTTGGAGATTAGGCCCCGGATCCGTCTTTTGGGCCCGAAAAGGATTTGTAAGAAGATAAAGGCCCGACCCGACGGATAGGCAGAAGCCGTGCCGAATTATCTCGGAAATCTCGTCGTGTCTCGTATAGGAAGTGATCGGCATCGCGTAAGGTCAAAGAACTGGTCGCAATGGCGCCAACATTACCGGACCTTGAATCATTCGACTTCATTTAATGACGTCACGGGTATTTTAGGCAGAGAAAATTTTCTTGCCCGGTGACGGGAGTAGGACCGCACCCGACCAACAGCCGCCTTCCGCCGTTTCTGATTGGTCCGTTCGACCCGTTGGGCCAGTTAACGGGTTTTATTCCAAGTTTAAAACTTTTTCGAATTTAAACCGAAGAAACTTAATTAATTAATTTTAGTTACTTATTTGCATAAATTAGAGAAAAAATTTAACTAAAATATTATATTTAATTTGAAGAATAACGTGGAAATTAGCGTAAAAATTGATTTTTAATCGGGCATTTATGTAAGTAATGTTAATTTTAAGATAATTATTTATAAAAATTCGACTTAAAAAAATACTGTATTGAGTTTAATTATATTTTAATTCAATAAAATAATCAATTAATTCTTATTACGTACTAAACTCGAGCGTCGTATAATTTTAAATATGATTATTTGACTATTAATAACGATAAGCTTCACTTTACAGTAAATTAGCATTGTAAATGTTTATTTATATATATTCAGTTGTAAGTTATCTGTATACCAAGCCGTAAAATGACTTCACTAGAGAATTACTTGTTTATTAAGATCCTATATAACATTCTCTTAAGTTAGGAAACCTTTCAAGCGGTTTTCTATTCCATTTTTAACAAAAAAAAGTAACGTGTTTGCCTTCTAAATAAACTCTTCCACCGGACTCGACAATAAATCAAATATTATTCGAATTATTTTCGAAAATACAAAGCATTTATTAAACAATAAATTGTCTTTCCGGACAGATAAATGTATTTACTAAGCACTCGCCATCTTGTTACGCATTTGTTTAATTAATTTTACCGACGTGTTTGACACTTAACGGGCAGATATATTGGCATTTAATCTTATTAGCAATAAAATTTCCATTAATATCTGTTCCGTTGTTTTAAACAATATCAACAATAGCATTATCGTTACTTGTAATAACTGGAAAACTTACCACGTAATGCACTGATCGAGTAATTAAACATTAAAAAATAAAATCCTAATTGAAAAGTTCCCAAAAATATTATTAAAAATAAAAATTAATTATACTAAAATATGATCTTTTTATTGTTTTATTATCTTCTCTAATTAACTTATGAAAATAATAAATTAGTGATTAAAATTAGAAGCTTTAATGGTAAGTAAAACAGTAAATAGAGTTTACGATATATTTTTATAAGCTATTTTAATATTTATTTTTAATAGGAACTTTCTTAAAATTTACCAATTAAATTTAATTAAACTTTCGAATATCTTCTAAATAAATAAAGTTTAATTGCAATTTGTTAATTATATTTAAATTTTTTTTAATTGTGTAAAATAGTATAATATCTAAACTCTAATTCATCGATATCGAAAATACAAAGTACATTAGCTTTAATGTATACATATTTTCAAATTCTAATCACCGAAAATCCGTGAAAAGTTATTTGTTCATTAATTATTTATCGACAAGTTATACGATAATTACAATTAAGAATTTTCCAAAATTAAGTTTACGATAACTTCTATTTTATTAAACATTTTAATAAGTTTCCTTATTAATAAGTAAAAGTTTTATTTTCTTAAAAATTGTTTTTAGAAATGTCTGTAAAGCCCTTTAAAACACTTTTCCCTGCAAAATGCGTTAAATTGTACGTGAAAGCGGCTTTACAGGTGCACGCAGCTTTCATTTTTTAAAATGTAAACCTAACAATTGCTATATTTTAAAATGAGTTTTTCTCTTAAATTTCATATTTTTAACCTTTTTCTTTTTCGTTTTATTTTCTCTCTTCATTATTCATTTTCTTCTTATCTAACGAACATCAATTATTAAAGATTGAAAAGAAAACGTGCTTTATCTGTAAAACGGACAAAGTTAATAGCTTCTAATAATTTATTATCGGTTAAATAAACTAGATAAAGCTTATCGTATTCGAATAACCTACATCTAAATTTTTTATAGCCTTTTACGTGGGGAAATATATATATATATTATATTTGGTTTTGGCATATATTAAAAGATCGTATCGGCTTATCGTTAAAGCAAAGTAAAGAGGTGTTAACTCACCAACAAATCTCTTTTTTTGATGATGAAACAGTTTGGGTAGTAAAGTAGAGACTGAGCGGATCGCGGCCAAATCGGAGGATAAATAAGCCCTCCACCCACGCCGAATAAACTCTCATCCATAGAGCATGCGCCGAGAAACAAGTAGAAAATGAAAGTTTTCGAACATCAAAACGGAAATGATACATTATCGCGGAGAATCCCGATTAAAGTCATTTCTGTTTGTTAAGAGTGAGTTAATGTCTTTGGTTTATTACTTCTAAATTTATATATTTATATGTTTATAAACGATAGTTTCCCCCCTTTTAAATGCCGAGAATATCTTTATAAAAATTTAATTTTGGAAAGAAATTTAATACGTGTTTTTGCACACGAGAACAAAAGTTCGAACAATTCGGATTAAAATAGAAACTCGTGTTATTAATAATTTTAAAAAAAAAGAAAAAAGAAAAATGTTAATAATATATTAAAATAACTCGGGTCTCATCAATTTTGTTTACTATCTCGGCTGATTACGACTCGAAAAATTAATAAAAAATTTTTGAAACGTAATTTGAAAATCTTTGGTTTGCCAACGGAAACTGGAGGCGATAATAATTTAAAAAATCAATAGACGAGTTGCTTAACTTTTCCGGCCACGTTTGGTGGCGCCATCTGTTACTATATTTTATTTTAAAAACTTTTTATATTTTTAACTATTATAAAATGGTAAATAGTTTCATTTCGAGGCTAGGGGTGGATTTTATTAAAAAAAAATTCTAAATGCTAATAACGAGTAAAATCGTCATTAAGTCCGACCCTATTGGAGATACACATCATCCCTTTTATCTCCCCACCCTCTCGACCTTTAACCATCAAAATTGAATAGCGTAGATCTCCCTAATAAACAAACTTTTCTGCAAAGTTTCAGAAATTTTCCACAAAAGCACCGGACTTATGAAGCTTCAAACAGGGTGAACAAAACCGTGCCCAACACACACACACACATTCATATGTACAGAAATCACCCCGAAATTTCTTTGCATTTTTCGACGTTTCGAGGTGTCCCGAGTTAAAAAATGTAAAAATCTGGGGGTCATTTTTGGCTGATGGTCACATTTTCCTTGTGTACTGTATAGGCTATATAACATCCGAAAAAGTAAAAAGAAAGTTTTCTTTAGTATAGATGATGAAAGACGATTGTTAATTTAATAAGAAGAATGAGAAAATAATTTATTCATGCGATGAACCGAGATTAACTTTGGTCCAGAGTTTGTCTGGATACTTGTTGATAGCACCAGTCTACGTTAGACAATTACATACAATAAATTCGGATAATAAAAGCGCGAGACGTTCATTTATAAATGCAAAAAAGGCATATTTTTATTTGTTCGTTTATAATTAAAACAATTAAAAATATTTATTTTAAAATTCATTTATGGATAAATAACGCTTATTTCAATCAATAAACATTTTTTTAAAGATTTGTGAACGGGATTTAACAGTTTTACATTTTATTGCCATAATAACGCACATAATTACAAATAAATAATTTATTTCAAAACACTTTATCGTACAATAAAACTTTTTAATTTTGTTTAATTTTACAGAATTTTATATAAATCGTTAATCCTAAATCAACAAATTCGATCATTTCTCGAGAATTAATATCATTTAAATGTCCGTTTAAAACGGTATTAAAACTTTAGAAGAAAAATTAAATAAATAAAAACGGAATGGCATAATTTTTGCATAAGGTTAATCGGATGCTCGAAAATCTAGGTTATACTTCGTGCTTGGCCGAATAGTCGATAAGCAATCGACGTGCGCTACATGGCGGAAGTTTCCTGATTAATGTTCGGATTTCTTTAAACGATTCAAATAAATTCGACTTGCAGACTTTTATAATATAAATAAGTATCCTTCTGCCATTTAAGCGGCAGATTACCTATTAAATAACTTACTATTTTATAAATATAATAGCGTTTTTGATATACAGTACTGTATTTTATAACGGAAGTTTTCGTCTTTTTTCTTCCTCTACTCCTTTCCGAAATTTGATAAAATATGCTCGCCCCTTTCTACACTAATACGAAATAAATTACGAGTAGGAATTAATAATACTTTTTTAACTAAATAACGTCGACCCCAAACCACCCCCGGTCGTTTATCGACCCTCCAGGTAAATCAATCCATCCCTAGGGTGTCTGTAGCCACAGAGTTAGGAAACCCCCTTTTAAAGTATTCTGGATTAAATTCGCTGGTATAATGTTACGATTAAATTTACCTAATATATTATGTAAACAATATATATTATTAATTAATTATGTAAACAATACATATTATATCAACTATTATTTCGAAAGATTTCATATTTCCGTACGCGGAAATATGAAATCTTTAGAATAATGGTTGATATAGAAACTTTCAAGTGCTGTATACCGAAACCACTCCACTTTCGTTCGTGACGCTTTAATTTTAGTAACGGTTTAAATAATGCCATTAACTTGGTAAAGTAAAATAAATATTCTAATTTGATTATATTAAAAGATTTAATTTAAACCGTATATTATATAGAAGTTATATAGAATCTATGCTAAAGGGTACGGAATTAGATGTAACCCTATATACCATTGCGTATACGTGTGTATAAGTAGTTAAATCTTTCCTCCGTACTTTAATTAATTTATTTACAGTGGAAAGGGGCCGGTTTACAGAACGTGGGGCTTTTCGTATTTATCGGAATAGGAATTTTTTGATATTTCGATTAATCGTAAACTTTATCGAACCATTTCTTTCTATATATAAGTAGTTTATATTTGAGATATTAGATTGTGAGCCTCTGGATATAAACACAACGTTTCATTTATAAGGTTATAAATAGACCTACTTGTATATAAATAGTTGATAATATGGAGCAGTATTTGGACGATTATTAAATATGAAAGTATTAGTATTGATCAAAAAAGATTTTAGTCTACCGCATATTTCTACGTGACCCACTTCTCTTAAATCCCATATAATAAAAATCACTGTGGAATGATCCTTTATCACTCAAGTCTTCGGCCGGATTTATCTTTGAATAATCAATTCCAAGAAATTTTATTCTTAGAATTAAAAAAAAAAAATTATTTGAATTTGGAATTAAATTGACATTTAAACAGACGAATATATCAGTTTTTAAATTTAAACGAAAGCGCATAAATTAAAGAAACTCCAGCCTTGTTTCTAAAATATGATTTAGAATTTTATGGATAAAAGTNACTATTTTTTTTTTACAACACGTATTTTAAATAATTGAAGAAAGCCTTCGATAGTTCTAGGTTAAAATAACAGATGGCGTCCTAGTCTATCACCAAATTTCAAAGTAATTTTTTTTTTCTGTTTTTGTTGCTGTTAAGTGGCGCGCCGACATTGCCGATGGACGCTTGCTTCGAGATTAATTCATCACTTTTTCTCGCTGGAAAAAAATAATAATTAATTAATGAAGTGCGAAAATCGACTCGGTTAGGCATTATTATAAGGCGAAGAACAGGCGAAAGGAGTTAATTACCTTTGATGGATAAAGAAAAGTGGATGATTGATCGGTTCCGTGGATATTCTTTGTGATACATACGTAATTTCCCATGTCGCTCCAATCGATATCACGAATGATCAGATCTCCGCTATCTAAAATCTATAATTAATTTAAAAAATAAAGAAATATTTCATTCCGGTCGAGCGAAAGAAATAAAAGTGGCATATTATTACTCGATTTATTACCAAACAAAACTTTATTTATAAGAGAAGAAGGACGAATTAATTCCAAGAATGCAATTTTGACCGACTCCAATGCTATAAACATTAAGAGCAAATACTTAAAATGATTTTAAATGCGTGTTGACGTCCTACGTTCGAGCAATTTAAAAGTGTTTATCATCGGAGTTTAAAATTTGTTTCGTTTCCTAGAATTTGTTTCGTTCGTCGCATTGCTTAGCAAATTACTACGAAATTAAATCGATGCAGTAATTATAATACATTGAGCGGCCAATCGAAACAAATTAAACTCGCAACAAAATGTAGCCGAAACTACAAATAAGTTTGAATATTTGAATTTTGTTATACTCACTTCGTATTTTTCGCTTTTCTGGACGAGTTCGTCGTCTTGATTTATCCATTTGACTGCAGGTTCCGGTTTTCCGGCTACCCTACAGAATAACTGAACGTCACTTCCAGTGTATTCCATTCTTATGTGGGTCCACATGTATATTCTGGCAGGAATACCTGTCGACGACAGATGGGATAATTATCGTATCATCGAATTAATTTCTTCTATTTATAAACTGAAAACTCACCGTAGGACTTTTTAGTGAGGCAGAACGCATCTTCGGTTATCTTACTTTTGTTATTCGTTTCGATTTTGGTATTGGTACTAATTCTATAATAAGGATTTTGGGCAACACAAGTGTATTCGCCCGTGTCTTGTTCGGTGGCGCAATCGATGAAAAGTCGCGACTTAGTAAAACTTAAACCCAACTGAGGATTAGTATCGAAATTACCGTCGTCCACTTCGTTCATTTCCATCGGATTCTGGAAGAAACGTCGAGCTCGAGACGTGTCTTAATTATCTCTTGGTCCATTTTAAAAATAACCTTACCTGTTGGATCCTTTTCCCATTCTTTAACCAGTGAATGGTGGGAGGAGGATTCCCTCCGGCTTCGCATTCTAATACTTTATTATCTCCCAAAGATACGTAAAGAAATTCGGGTGGTATACTACGCATTCGAAGATGTGGATTCACATTACTATTTCCTACAATAGTTTATTACGGTCAATTATATAATTTTTAGGATACCGTTACGTTAATTGCAAACGTCTTACCATTTCTCGTGTTTCTAGAATGTTTCATAACGCCCTAAAAACAAAAAAATTAAGTTTAATGTAAGCGATGGATTAATTATAATTAAAAATACGTCAAACGTAATATTAAATCTTACTCCTAATCCTCTCCTTGTTCGACTATATTCGATATGACGTCCAAAAATGGCGGGCAACAATATTAATGTTGTGAATAATATGGTACGACCTGACATTGCGGCTGAAGGTGATAATGGAAGTTACCTGATGAAAATACAATATATATATAAAGATTACGTGGTTTATAACACAAACA